AACATAGTACTTTAAAAAATGATTTATATTGAACAAAGGAAGTAGGTAAGTACATACATACATACAGACATACACGAGCACGCACACACATACTCCATCTGATTTCAAATATAAGAGAAAATAATTAATTTATACTGTTTAAAAAAGTCGGTTAAATATAATAATTATGTCTAAAATAAAAAAATTTGAATTTAATTATTCATGTAATTTGTTATTCAAATTTGTCTAGTGAAAATGAACATTTATTTTATAAGGGACAATTTGAAAAAAAAAATATGATAAATGCTTCATGAAATTTAATAAATTTACTTATAAATAAAAAGAAAAAGACATATAATAGTTTCTCTTATATTTAAAAATGGAGAGGACATGCATGTGCATATACACATGCACATACATTACTAGCTAGAAGTTAAGGTAACTCCATAGCAAAAGTAAAAGCCACTATAACAACATTGCCAAGTATTTTTCATCTATTCTATATTTTTCTTAATTACATTTTGATTGACAAGGATAACTAAAATAGAATTAAGGTTATACTAATTTTGTATTATATTTCAACTCTAGATAAACGTACTCTTCTTATGAATGAGAACTATGCATGGCCTGGACATCTGTAACATTTTCTCCATGTGCCACATAACCAAGTTATGGACTAAATTTTAATTTTCCCATATCCTTTTTAAAAAATTTTGGTTGTGTGACTTTATTGTAACTTGTTTTCTCTTAAAAATTGATTTCCCTTTCTTTTCTTTTGTTTTTTTTTTTCTTTATTTGTGCTGGCCTCAGAAAGGTTTTAAGATGGTTTTGAATTAGAAACTGTGATTACCTACAAGGACTTTGAATATTTGATCCTTATTATCTCCATTTTTAATGTTATCTTACTCTTATCTCATGTCGCGTTTGTCGTTTGATATAAAAGAATTGAGGGGTGAAAATAAATATAAAAATGGGATTGAAAATTTTACATGTTTGGTTTGATAAAATTAAAAGGAATTGGGCTTCCACGTAAAAGTCAATTCCATCAAAATTGATAAATTTCATTGGAGATAATGGAAGCCCATTTCCAGCAATAACATTGGACCAATGTTATGCCCCTGGCAACTGGTAATGGTAAAGATGCTATAGAGGGAAACGAGGATGGCCGTGAGGCAACTGTGATTAGGGCGGCGGCGGCGGCGCGTATGTGAATCTCTGGTTGAAGCTGACTGATCCAACACCTTCGTCTTCTTCTCCTACCTTGTCTTCTTCTCACTTTGTCTTTTCCATAACCATTTCCTTCGTCTTCTTTCCACCTCTATCTGGCACAATCTGGAATCCCATGAGTGTCCCAACTACAAGCACAGGATGAGTGGCGACACGTGGCAAAATCTCTCGCCCCCACTAGAATCAACGGCTTATGGAATTAAATATGTGATTCACCAAATTTTTTCTCTCTGATTTTTTGCCTTGCCGATGCATACTGATCTCCTTCCTTATTTGGTGCAATCACGTATTCATTGGGATCCCTCCTTCCTGCCATATTTTCAGGAATTGACAATATAATCTTCCTCTCCACCAGCACTTTCCTTTATCTTCTTCTTCATGTCTTTCGCTCCACGATTTTCTCAAAAAGGAATTTCGTGTTTCTGGTTCAACCTTCCATTGTGTTTCTCAGTGGGATGTGTTTGCTGTGCACACCTGTCATTCTCGTCGTCATCTTGATCAGCTTGCTTTTCGGCTTCGGAGTCTACACCCATGGCTTTCACAAGCTCAAGGACACCTTAATGTCACGGATGATATCTCCGTGACCGTGTAAAGACCAAGATAATGAACGATCCGCTGGTTAGCCTCGCACAATATGGGTAAAGGGGGCGACATTAGCATTGGGGGTGTTCTGCCTCAATCTTCGGACTGAGTACATAACTGGTCGGGGGCTAATGCCGCCTCCCTGATGAGCCCATGGCAGGGCGAAACCAGTCCGATCCGTATGTGGTAAGGCTTGTCCTGAGGATTATGGGGTCCTCCAGGACGCCGCACGGGCACCGTGTGCTGCGCCAGACTCTCAGCCCGTGACAGAGTGGTATCAGAGCAGGACGTACTTTACTGCCATGTGCACATGGGGTCCCACGTTGGGACTGGTCGGCCTCGGCACCGCTCTAGAAAGGCCTCCGAGCAGGTGGGTCCAAAAGTAGGGACTCGAGCGAGAAGGTTGGCCGTTGTCGACTCCACTCCAGTTGGCTCGCGGGTGCGAGTGGGTCCGAAGAGTGCAGGACTCGGGTGGCCACTCAGCAGTAAGCTGATGTGTTTGTGGCAGTACTGTACGTACGATCCTTGGGCGGAGTCGTTCTCCCCTGGCACGAGGGCGTGCTAGATTGGGTGTGGGAGAATGTCACGGATGATATCTCCGTGATCATGTAAAGACCAAGATAATGAACGATCCGCTGGTTAGCCTTGCACAATATGGGTAAAGGGGGCGACATTAGCATTGGTGGTGTTCTGCCTCAGTCTTCGGACAGAGTGCACAACTGGTCGGGGGCTAGTGCCGCCTCCCTGATGAGCCCATGGCAGGGCGAAACTAGTCCGATCCGTATGTGGAAAGGCTTGTCCTGAGGATTATGGGGTCCTCCAGGACGCCGCACGGGCGCCGTGTGCTGCGCCAGATTCTCAGCCCGTGACATTAAGCTACTTTGATCCTTCCGTGCTGGCAGTGGCGGAGCTACATCTAATTGAAGGGGGCCGAGCATCACTTGGAAAAAATGATATGTTTGGGAATATAGAGTTTTATATTTTACAATTTACACCTTTTATTTATTATATCTTACCCCCTTTTTTTTATATTTTAAATTTTAAATTTATTTCAATCTTACTTTTTTAGTTTATACCTACTCAAATTTTTAACTTAACCTCATGAATATTAGCCCACAATTTCACTATACCTACATATCAATATTATTTATTAATTATTTAAAAAATAAAAAAATATAATATGATTAAATAAACTCACTCCTCACCTTGAATACTACTCAGGGACTTTTTTTTTAAAAAAAGATAATGATAAATAATGAAGATTCAAAATTCAAGAATAAATTAGGTGAATATTTTTTATTAGTTCACTGTATTTATGAATTTATAATTAAAAATTGAATGGAGAATAAAGAAAAAGAAAAAGAGAAAAGAGAAAAGAGAAATAGCTGATTTAAAAGAGATAGAAATGTCTTTCTTTTATGGAGAATCTTAACTTCATCATTATCTTCTTGATTCAAGATCCTGACTCTACCAACGGTCACTGGTATTAGTGTCTATGGCCATGCAAATGGAAGTTCTTTCTTGGGTCATGCACCAGCTCCATTCTACAAGGACTTTTCTTCTATGTTCATTCCCATTCGTTCTTTCTCTGTTTTCTGGGTATTTGCTATGAATTCCAGGGTTGCAGTAGCAAAGAAAAAAGGAGGCAACATGTGCAAAAATGAGGTTGCAAGTGAACGCTTGTTGTTTCATTGATATTGGTGCATCAGCAGGGGAAAAAAAAACAGGGAGAAAAAGATTGAGTGAATCACGTATTTAATTTCATAAAACTTTTATAGTTGTTGATTCCATTGGGAGCAGGAGATTTTGCCACGTGTCGCCACTCATCCCATGCTTATAGTTGGGACACGCATGGATTCAAATCCGCAGAATCTCGACCTTCCAAGAATGGATATTTGTTCATCCTTCACTCCACAATAATCTTGTTTTCCCCTTTCTTCCACAAATCTTTTTTTTTTTTTATTTATTGTTTTGTCCCTTTCACAAAGTTGATTTTTGCTCGCTCTTCATTGATAGAGTTGCTTTCTAGCTTTTTCCAATGGCGCTGCAAATTCTGACAATGGTCAAAAGTGACATCTGGGATAGGCCCATCATAAGCAAACCAAACAAAGTTTTCATAAACCCCACAATCCACTCACCGTGTGGGTTTCGAAACAGACGAGGAACTGGAAAGATTCGAAGAATTAGCCCAATACATGTGGCTGGCTGTATGGATTTCAATGTCGAAGATCTGTTCATATTAAAATATCTTCTTGGTGGTAATTGATTGTGATGAGCACCAATCTCAAGTTTAATCTAAGCCGTCTAAATTTGATATAAGTTTATTTCTATATTTTTAAGAAATTATTATTTTAATAGGTATAAAAATTAAATAAAATATTTTTATAAATGTTACTCTTAAAAAATGATTTGTACTTGAAAAACTATACGTTAAAAATTTTAAATTTGAACATTAAAATCAGTTCTCACCAAGCTGATGAGCATCCGTTATATGGTTGTGCTTTTGAACAAGAGCATCCATTAGACGGTCGTGCTTTTTAATAAGTTAAATTAAATTTTCATTTTTTTCTTCTGGTTTATATTTTGAAATTTTATATGAACCTTTTTTTGTTTATATTATCTAATATCTTTTTTATTGGCATAGGTTTAGTTTAAAATGATTTAATATATTAATGATAAAATATTAATATTAAGTCAGAAATATTTTAAATTTATGAGGTGATTGTATTTTTTTTTAAAAAAAAGAAACTTAATATAAAAATTGTAGTTTTATGGACAAATTGTATTATCTTAACCCTTGTTTTTTAACCTCGCCTAATCATGTAGGAGAAGAACAAGAGAGATGCGAGAAGGGTCACCGTCGTGGTGGTCATCATCATCTTAATCTATATTTCATTGCTGCTTCTGCGAGCGGGGATGATATATGCCCTCTTGGATTGGTTTTTCTTTTTATTTTATTTTATTTTGGTTGCATATTGAAAATGGCACGCAAAGGTATAACTCGAGATATATGCCTTAAATATTTTCAAGTTTTACGCAGAGGAGAAATACAAAACCAATTAACATATTACAACATAACTAACTAAACATAACTTACAAATTAAAACATATTAAAATTATGACTGAAGTAAAAGCTAATACTGTACAATTTTTATGATATTTTGTAAAGCATATTAAAATTATGATTGCATTTTTAGAGAGAGATGAGAAAGGATTCCAACCATGCAGTGTTTTTAAAGAGATATGCAGAAAAACAGTAATATGCGGAAAAAAATCGAAGTAGCACATCAGTTTTGCTTTTTGATCAAGAATTCGTTTATCAATTTCTCCACGTTGATATTGGAAGAACCACCAGGTGCAATGGCTTCCATTGCAATTTTCTGCCACTGCATGACCTTGTTTATCATCTCCTTTCCCTTCTCTCCATCCATCAACTCATTCACGAGCCTTTGCACCACATCCCTCTTCACATTATTATCAATCTCGAGCCCGATCCCCCATTCTGCACAAGCATACCTACAATTAGTTTGCTGGTCTCCATAGAAAGGCCAGCAAGCTATTGGAACCCCTGCACACATGCTCTCCAACATGGAGTTCCACCCACAATGGGTCAAGAACCCTCCAATTGAAGGGTGGTTCAAGACTTTCTCTTGTTCACACCAACTAGCTATGAAGCCTCTTTCCTTGGTCTCATTTAGAAACTCAGGAGATAGAACTACTGAGCCGCCATTCACGAGGTCAGGCCTTATGATCCATAAGAAGGGTTTCTTGCTATTAGCTAAACCCCAGGCAAACTCATGCAGTTGTTCCGGAGACATAATAGTGATGCTTCCAAAATTTACATAAACTACGGATTTAGGTTTCCTGGATTCTAGCCAATTGATGCATATGGTTTGTTCTTTCCATAGATTGGTACCAATGGATTCCAAGTGTTGGCTAAGTTGAATTTCAGAAAGAAGCAAATGGACAGGGCCTATGGTGTAAATAGGAGGGAAGATGGAGGATAAAGTGTTCAGCGCATCACTCTCAAGCTCACTAAATGTGTTGAAAATCATGGCTTGAGCATCTTGAGCATTTTTAAGATTGTGTCTTGTCATGTTCATCATAAACTCATTATCTGGATCTTGTGTGCTAAAAAAGCTTGGAAGATCCCTTAGTCTAATGTTCTTCATGCCTGAAAGCCCATCCAGTTCAGTATCTAAGCGCCCACTTGTCAAGTATCTCTCATCTGCACCATTGAATGAGGAAGAACAATTTTGTTATAAAAAGCCCATTATATATATAACAAAAACAAAGTGCATGTGCTTGAGCGTGCATGTGTATATGACTTACCTAAGGGAAGGACACCCTTATCATGAAGATCACAACCATGCCAGAGGCCTAAATAAGAAGAAGCATTGATTACACTATAGATGGCAACAGGAACTTTTGTTTGTTGAGCAGCTTTCACTGTGAAAGTCATAGCCATATCAGAAATCAAACAAGTAACTGGTGGCACAAGACCTCTAGAGGCAGATTCATGAAGCTTTTCAAGAAGCTTTGTGAAAGGGACGAGGCAATTTTGTGCTGTAGATTCACAAAGAGAAGGTAGGTGTTGGGTAGCATCAGCTTGAGAAGGAGGAAGCCCATCAGGGATGGTTTCAAAGCGAAAATCTGAGAGTCCATCAAGGGCTTGAGGACCCCTTGAGTTGAGCAAGCGTCTATGGTTGTATTCAGTGTTGACATATGTTATGTGAAAACCTCTATGGTGAAGCACTTTAGCTAATTTGAGGAAGCTGTTTAGATGGCTCTGAATCGGAAAAGGGATCATCACAGCATGTGGCTTTGATCCTTCCCTTGCAATGTAGTTCATGCTTTTCTTCAATATAATTCTCTCTCTCTCTAGCTATCTCTCTATCTATCCATCTATCTAATGCACAAGGCTTTATATCCAAGCAGACCTAGTAATTTGGATTATGCCGACGAGCTAGCTCAAATAAGTCCAAAAATCTTAGGGTTATGCTTGTGAGTGTAAAAAAAAAAAAATCCTTTACTTTGAGTTTATTCAAGTCATCTGAGCAAGCCTAAAAAAATTCAGGCCAAACTCGAATTCGAGTGAAATTAACTTGAATACTCAAATTCTTTTTTCATTATCAATGAAATAAAATTAAAATAAGAATATAAATTGAAAAATATTATTTTTTAAATAAAATTGAAATTGGCTAATAGACGAAAAATAAAATAAAATAATATTTAATAAGTTGGGTATTCATGCCAGCCTAAAAGCCTAAGGTGTTAGAGCTAGGCTTAACCATTGACTTATATATATATATATATATGATTGAGTATTTTAAACTCAATTCAAATGTCTGGCATTAAAAAAGCCAATCTGCTCAAATTACTGGTTTTACATATTACAGGTAATATTGAATAGGTGAGTGTGTGGCCACTGGTGAACTGTCAAAGGATTGGGATTGGCCAAGGTTAGGATAGGTTTAATGGCTCAAAATTGAGATGTTTAGTTTATGTCCAACAAATTTGATGCAAAGGTAAACACAATGTTTGAAACTTTGAATTTTATGCAGAGCTGCCAAAATTTCACGTAAACAAATTGAGGTGGGAAACGCCACTGCAAACGTAGACATATTGTTTGAACATTGAATGGTATGCGGAGATGTCCAAATCTAATAGCAAAATTTAGTCAAAAAGGGGGGGTGAGAACACGCATAAATCATATACGTGTTTGTAAATTTTTTACATTATAAAATATTTAAAAAATATTGTCTTTTAATTAAATTATTTAGGCTCTTTTTCACATTTTGTTTTGCCCTTAATTAATTATTTTTAATTTAAGGTAATTAATATAAAAATAAAAAATATTAATTTAATTACAAACATTATAACTACAATCCAATCAGCAGTGAACTATGAATAACAATCATAACCAAATTATTTTAATAGTTGATCCGGTTTTCATAGATATATTCGTTGGATCAACTTTTGATAATTAGCCAAAAGCCTAATCTTTTTGCTCCTGATCGTGAAATTTTCCCGTACATTTCCCAAGATAAAATTGCATCAATCAAGACTAAATATTAATAAAACTAAAATTTTTGCCTTCCCATCCATAGCTACGGCAATATTTTTCTTTACATTTCCCTATATTGTTTTACACTATTTTTAAAAAAAATTCTCATTTAAAAAATTCACAAAGATTATGGAAGTGGTAAAATAACTTAAGTTATAAAAATTATTAATTATTTAATTATCTCTTACATGCAGCTTTTTTAAAATTAAGAATTAATCAGAAATAAAATTACCAAAAACTGTCTTAAAAGAAATAATGAAGAATTATGAAAAAAAAAATTTAAAATTTTCAGATGATAGTTGTCGTTTTAATTGAAGTTCTTTTCAAGCATTAAATTCTGTCACAATATCATTCGACAGTGGAGGACAGAAATCATGTGCGTTGTCACGTAAGTAGTAATGAATGGCAAGAATTAAATAATCCAACAATCAAGTTTAATAGAATTATCCTACCAAAAAATATCATCTGTATCACGATTTTTTTAAATATATAGCAGTTTTTAATTGCTATATAATTTAAAAAAATTATATAATAATTTTTAATTTCTGTGTAATTGATTTATATAATAGTTATTTATAAATAATCATTATATAATTTGTATGTGCTAGTTATTTCATGTACTTTTTAATAAATTATATAATGATTATTTTAAGAAGACCGTTGTATAATTTCTAGTGTTGACGTATGTTACGTGGAAACCTTTATGATGAAGCACTTTACCTAATTTGGAGAAGCTGTTTAGATGGCCGTGAAAAGGAAAAAGGATCATCACGACATGTGGCTTTGATTCTTTCTTGGCAATAAAATCCATGCTTTTCTTCAAAATAATAATTCTTTCTCTTTTAAGCTACCACTCTATATCTATCCATCGATCTAATCAATGGTGGCCGCAGGATCATGAGTCAGTGGAAACATAAATTATATAAAATATAACAATAATTAAAAAATAAAAATTTAATATATAAAATAAATATTTACATACCTTACAAGTATTCTTTATATAATTTCATGTTTTGAAACTGTTGAATGATCAGTTCATTATCAATTTTATTAAATCATAATTTTTCCATTTAATTACACAATTAATTTTTTCCACACTTCATAATAAAAAAAGCTTTTTCTATAGTTACCATAGCAACAAGTAATATCATTATTAACTTTAATCAGTTTCTCACACTTATTCTCATATTTTCGCACAATTCACCCTATCTCTCATCTCGGACTTTGTTCTCTAGCAAAGGATCTTTCTATTTTCTTGTCTTTTGATCTTCTTTTAGTTTTTGTATACTTTAAAATTTCAGATTTTATTTTTATTAGGGTTATTTATTATTTAGTTTGACTTTAGTTTTGAAAAATTTTAAAAAGAAAAATTAAAATCATATTCTTATAAAAGTAATCTAAATTTAAATATAATGAATTTAAAATTAAAATTTATTAGGCTTAAATGAAATATAAAAGATCTAAATATGTTTGAACTCAAATATATTTTAGTTCAAGTCTAATGGGTTCAAAATTACAAGGACATTGGGGGCAAATTTTTAAAGCTTCTACCTCTTTCTTGTAATTTTTCCCAAGTTGGGGGAGGGGAGAATTGCCCACCCTCAACTGTAGGTCCGCCACCGGATCTAATACATAAAGTTTTATATATAAGTAGAAATGATAATTAGGCAAAGCTAAGTCAACAAACTAATTGAATATATATGTCTACAAAATTTTATGATCAAGTTTAGAAGTTAAACTTTTTTTTTTTCATTTTTCTTTGAGTTTATTCGAATTGCTTGAATAAGGTCAAAGAAATTCAAACGAGCCTCATCCCAAATGAAATTAGTCTGAATACCCCAAATTCTTTTTTATTATTAAAAAATTAAATTAAAATAAGATAGAAATTTAAAATTTAAAATTTTTTAAAATAAAATTTAAATTGAATAAAAAATAAAATAATATTTAACAATTAGGTATTTGGGTTAGCATGAGGTGTTAAGGTTGGACTTAACTATATTAATTTTTTTATATATTTAGGTATTTTAAACTGATCCAAATGAGGTTGAACTGTCCTAATTACCAATATTATATATAAGGTTATATTAAACATAGGTGAGTTTGTGGCCAATAGGGAAGTCTCAAAGGATTGGCCAAGATTAAGATAGGGCTCAATGACACTCAAAATCGAGATGTTTAGTTTATGTCCAAAAAATTTGATGCAAAGGTAAACATGCACATGTTTGAAACTTTGAATTTATGCAGAGATGTCAGAATCTCACATAAACAAATTGGAGCGATAAACCTCACTCCAAATGTAGATATATTGTCTTAACTTCGAATAGTATGCGGATATGTTCAAATTTAATAGAAAAATTTAATCCAAAGTTGGGGGGAGGGGACAAACACGCATAAATCATACATGTGTTTGTTAATATTTTACATTATAAAATATTTAAAAAATATTGTCTTTTAATTAAATTATTTAGGCTCTTTTTCACTAATTTTTATTTAAGGTAATTACTATAAAAATATAGAAATATCAATTTTATTGGAGCAACATAGCTATTCAATCATATCCATACTTATTGGATCAACATTTGTTAGCCAAAAGCTCCGCAGAAAAATGTGAATATTTCCCATACATTTCCCAAGTTAAAGATTAAACATTAATATAACTAAAACTTTGGCATTTCCATCCATAGCCACGGCAATTTTTCTCTGCATTTCCCTTATATTGTATGACACTATTTTAAACACACACACACACACACAAAAAGATTAAGGAAGTAATGCAATCACTTTCGTTATAAAAATTTTAAATATATTATTTAACTGAATTTTTCATTAATTATTTAATTATCTCTTACATACAGTCTTTTTTTAATAAAATTAAGATTTAATCAGAAACAAAATTACAAAAAAAATGTCTTATAAGAAATTTAAATTAGAAATATGAAAAGAATAAAATTTAAAATTTTCAGATGATATTTGCCTTCTTAATTGGAAGTTCTTTTCAAGCAATAAATTCTGTCAAAATATTTCTACCAAAAATATTCTGTCACTTAATTGGATTGTCCTGAACGTTAACCATGTCTGGCCCTAAAAAAACAAAGAAAGAAAAGAAAGAAAGAAAGAAAGAACATGAACCATGTGCCGTTGTCACCTAATTAGTAATGAATGGTGGTAGGGATTAAACAGTCTAATAACCAAGTTTAATAGAGTTAAACTTAACCAAATACTATAATAATAAAAATATTTAAACTAATCAAAATAATTACCATGATAAAAAAATTTAAATTTAATTTTCAAATTTATTTTAAAAAGATTATCCCAATAGAAAAGAGTTAATTTTTATTTTAAGAAATTACTATGATTACAAAAATTTCATCTATGAAATAGATATTTAAAATCTAGCCTTGGTAAAAATAATTAAATTAGTTAAAAAGGCTATGAAGGTTATAAAAGTTTGCACTTACTATTTAAAATAATAAATAACATCTTACCATGGTAGGTAAAAAAGAACCTAAAAATAAATAAATATTTCATTCAACAAAAATTTAGACTTACTAAAGCCTGTAGACATACATGTCACATTCCACTATAAATACTCAAATATTTATTTCAACAAATGTCTCGATACTTTAAATTTCATATTAAAATATTTACTTTAAATAGATTCACTGAGAAATTTCTATGGCCTTAGGCTTCAACTAACAATACTCTTCTCAATTATCAATAAATAATAAACAATTTCCAAACTCAACGCAAATAACAAATGAGTCCTATACTAACAAATGATTAGTCTACAAATTACAATGGGACAACTTAAAGCTTACTCAAGCTAAGTCCCAAG